CCCTTGGCTATGAACTGTTACTTGTTGGCTTGTTACTCACTGGAGGCTTCTGGTGGGGACAGGGTGGTTTCTTGGTTCTCCTGCCCCTCGGTCTTAGCCAGCTCTGTGTGCTGAGCCCAAAGTGGGGCTTTCTTGATATTTCTGCTGCTCCTGTGGAATCCAAACTCTGTCACGTGTCATGGGAGTACGTATTTTGCTCCCCACCCAGTGGCAGCAGAACTCTGCTTTACTTCAGAGCAGGATTCTGAGTGTGAGTGTGCTCTCTCCAAGAGGTACATGTGTCTTTTCTAGTGTCAGTGAATGGTGGGAGTACAATTTTCTAACCCTTTCCTTGTAATCACTAACTTTTGCCTGGGACTGCCTTGCAGCACAGTTTTCTGCTTGTCCTCCAGGGGCAGATGTCTTCTGCTTCTTATGAGAGAAGGATCCCAGAATCAGGTTTGTTTGCTGCCTGCCTCCCAAAGCATCCCAGGTCACCATGTGCACACCTGCACCACAGCATTGCCCTCCCAGGGCTTCTGCCCTGCTCCTGATATTTCTTGTGATCACCTGAAGGGAGCCTGTGGAAAAGATCTGGAAAATGAGTACCTATGCCCTTATGTGAGAACTTCCCAGGGGTTCGACACTCTCATCTGAACCCACATTCACTCTTCAAGAAGCTGTTAACATCGTAGTTGTCTCCTTAGCTCCTGCTCTTATGTCTGTTACTGGCCCCCACTCATTGCTGTTAATGGCAGACTAGTAGTTCATGTGTTCCATCTCTCGTTGGATGAACTTGTTATTTTCCGGAATTCAGATCCTCTGGTTGAATTACAATCTCAGATCACTGATGGATCTAATGAAAGTTACGATTTTATAGATTTTTCAGGTTTTCTTATTGTTAGAGTGGGGAGAGAATTCTCCTGTGGCTATCTACATTTTAAGAAGAAGCAGACTGTTTTTTCTCTCCCTGCCACCACCAGTCCGTTTTCTTTCTCTACCTCATTTACTTTTTTAAACATCACTTAGAACTATCATTATATTGCATTTATTTATTGTTCATCTTCTTCACCAGGATGTAAATTCCATTAAGGCAAATATTTCCTTGTTTTATTCATTTCTATATCTCTGGCACATAGTAGGACCTTAATAAAAATTGTCGAGTACCTACATGCATGAATGCCAAAGATCATGAAATTTTCTCCAGGATCTTAGATCAACTTGTTTTATATAAGAACATACTTCCCGTAAAGCTGTTCTCAATCTTGTTCTGCCATATTTTTCATGTCCCATTTTATTATGTTCTTACTCATTTTTAATCAGGCAAATTTATGTGGCCTCAGTGTCATCGTAAGCACCAGTAACAAAGAAGTGAAGGGCTTGTTCTTGCACTGTTCTGTTACCCTTGATTAGGTCTGTCTCCTGTCCCAGACCCACAGCTGGCATGCCAGTGATTGTGTGCTGCTGCCAATCTAGTTCTTCATGCTGGAGCTTCCATCCAGGGCACTTCTGCCCTACGCCCTGGGTTCTGCCCTAAGCCCTGGGTTCTGCCCCTTCCTCCCAAGTCTTTGGTAGACAAGGCTACCCTGTGCCTCACAAAGTACAAACTCCATACTTCAGAGCAGAATAGTTCTCATTCTGCCTTTCTAGTGTGTGTGTGTGTGTGTGTGTGAGTGTGTGTGTGTGTGCGCGCGTGCATGTCTGTTATTGATGTTGTTTTAATAATTTTTACTCTTTACTGCATTTGGAAGAGATGATGTGAAAAGGAAGTTGGAGGGTGGTGAATTGGTCAGTGCTTTCCTGCCTTAGGAACCAGCACATGAGGCAGGTAGATGAGTGGATGCCCCACTTCTCTGTCGGTTCTAGACCATGTCATTGCTCTTGGGGCTCCACATCTGGCAGAAAAGGCAGTTAAGGGACTGAGTGTTTTCCTGTCTTTTATTAGGTAGTTCTTTCTCATGAACTGGAGTTTACTATATCTTTTGGTAGTCTTTTGTTGTTTTGATTGCTTAAATCAGATCCAAATGTATTATAACTCATGTTCATTTCTGCCTGACCTGACATAAGGCACGGTGAGTTTGTATGTTTTGCTGAGTTATCCTTTGAGAGGCTGCATGAAAGCATGCTAGCCAGACACCATGTTGAGTGAGATTTCGTGCACTAGTATTTTGTAAGTATATGTAGAAGCTCTCATGATTAGGAAAATTAAAGTTCATTAAAAATTCTACTGAATTAAAAGTTGTCTTTTGTCATTACCTAGTGTTTGAATCAATCAATATTAAAATTACAACTACTAACTCATGGTGGCCCCATTTTTTTCTGATTTAAAAAAATATATTAAAACAAGCTCTTATAATCCAAATGGTTTGTAATCATTCTTCCATAGGACTGTGCCAAAGACCTTGTCCTATGGAATATAATTTAATTTCCTATTATTCAAAACTATTTTCCTAATTTTAAATTATTAGGTTAAGTAATAATTCTGGATCGGCAAATGGAGACATTTCTGAAAACGTGAAGAAATATCATTGCAAAACAACCTCAGTTGTTCTGAAGGATAAAATAATAGCTGCCTTGATTTAATTATTTTTATGCGTTATCTGAGAAAAAGCTCATTAAAACACATGTTGACACTTTTTATCCACTGGAACTTTAACTTCATTGGAAAAATGATTCTAGAATGTTGACTAATTGGCTGGTTCATTCCACATGGGATTACACCCTTTTCTGAATCAGAATTTCCTGCTATTGCAACATGTTTTTTCTTTCTTTTTTACTTATTTTCCTTAGAAACAATCCATTTGGGTCCATTACATGTCCATTTGTTAGCGTGGGGCATTGCACTTGTTTGTAACTACACCGAAGTCATAGTAGGCTGGGTCTGTTTGTGTATACAGAGTCAATGCGAGATCCCGCAGCTGCTTGGGGAAGCAGGCAGTACAAGGGGTCATGCTGGCATTTCAATTCAAAATTGTCCTTTCCCAAAGTCATGAGTATTTGCATTTTAATTGTCAAGAAGATTTGTTTAACTTTGTTTTGCTTACTGTAATGTTGTACATAGACATCAATTTGTTGAACTTTTTTTAAAACTTTTAATTGACGTGTAATATTCTAAGAGAAAGTACACAAATCCCAAGGGTATAACAAGATGAACTTTTACAAACTGAGCACCCCTGTGTAATCGGTACCCAGATCAACAAACAGAACATGACCCGCACCCCAGAAGCTCCCCTTGTACCCGCTTCCTGTCTCTAACACTCCTCGCCATGGGTAACTACTCTCTTGTTTTACTTGATTTTATATTTTATACAAACGGAATTAGGCACTGGATGTATAATTAATTATACATGAATTATAAAATGGTTGTATTATTTTGTATCTAGGTTATTTCATTTTTTGTTACGTTTATGAGATACATCTACATTTATCTTGTATTGTGTTTGTTCATACTGCTGTACAATGTTGCATTGATCTATACAACACTACTTATTCATTCTGCTGTTAACATTCTGCTGTTCATTCTTCTTATTCATTCTGCTGTTAAAATAGTTTCCTATTGGAGAAGGAGATGGGGGCAATTATGAGTATTCTATGAACATTCTAGTACGTCTCTTTTGGTAAAGTATATATGCACACATACATTTCTGTTGGCTATATAGCTAGGAGTGGAATTGCTGGGTCATAGAGTGTATGTATGTTCAGCTTTAGTAGATAAGCCGGCTTTCCAGAGTGGTTGTAAGTACTTATACTCACACCAGCAATGTATGAGAGTTCCATTTGCTCCATCTCCTCACCAATATTTGGCATTTTCTGTCTTTTCCTTTTTAGCCATTCAAATGTATATGAATGGAATGTGGTTTAATTTATATTTCCTTGGTGATAGTGAACATAAGTACCTTTTCATATGATTATTGATAATTTGTATATTTATTTTTGTGAATTGTCTGTTCAAGTATTTTGCCCATTTTTCTATCAGTTGATTTTGTTTTTGTTACTGTTTCATAAGAATTCTATATAATCCAAATATAGGTCCTTTGCTGCATACATGTATTGAAAATATTTTCTCCTCTTCTGTGGGTTGCCTTTTTACTCTTACAATGGAGTCTTTTGATATTTAAAAAAACAAGTTTATTATTTTTTTCTCTTATGGTTTGTACTTTTTGTGTCTAGTTTAAGAAATATTTGCCTGCTTCAAGTTGACAGAGCTGTTCTATGCTTTCCTCCAACATCTTTATTTAGATTTATAATTCATCTGACTTGATATTTATACATTATATGATATAAAGCACAAGATACATTTTTCCACATGGATATCTTATTAACCTAGTATCATCTTACTTAGTTTTAAGCTCTTTTAAAATGTGTCCATAAAATTTAGTTCCATTGAAATACTTTTCATATTTTCCTGGAGAGAATTACTAATGATTCTTGAAAAATATTTAAGTCTAGGATGATTTAAAACATAATCTATAGATTTATTTCACACTAATGTAAAGACATTTTTCTTAAAAGTTCTTCAGTTAATTAGAATCTAGCTTATAACTCTAGCAATTTATTTTTTCAATACCAGAGTGATTTATAATGCACAAAGCACAATCATTATTTTAAATAAATTTTTGTTTTTACTCTTTCATTTGAATTCAATTCAACATGCATTTACTATGTGTCTGCTAGAATTTGGGACAGTTGAGAATATGGTTGATGTTTTGAGCTCCATTTTTATGTCATAATACAAAGTCGTCAAATGTCAGTCAGTAATAAACCATTTTTCTTTAGTTTTTAAATTTATATTAATAAAGAGAAGTATAAAGTGAGAACTTTTATTACTATTAGGATGACCTTATGCTCTTATGTTTAAAGCTTTTATGCTGTTTTCCAATAGTAATGACAAGATCTTTTAAGGCATAAAAATAGAAAAGAAAATATAGATGTTTCATTTCTGTATTTGGAATGCCTGTGAATCTTCCTCTTTGATGTCATTTCTGCTTAGTTTTGTTTTCTCTTTTTTTTATTTGTTCTAGGTTGTACTGGTCAGTGGACATCTGGACAGCTGGGATGTTGGTCAGGGTGCCATGGATGATGGTGGTGGAGCCTTTATATCATGGGAAGCACTTTCACTTATTAAAGATCTTGGTAAATATTTAGCAAGTTGTTAACTCAGCACACAAAATACTCAACTGATTAGTTGCTGTGTGATGTTCGAAGATTCTCTTGAGGTTCATATATCTTATTGTCAGTTCCTTTTTAGAATAGAACTAATTTTTTACCTTAAAGAAAGAAATTTGTATCAAGTGTCTGCCAGACAACCAAAGTATCCAATATGATCAGCTACTGGTGAAAATGAACAAGCAAAGAAAACCATAGCAGCTGCGACCATATCAGCTAGAGACTATGTAAGGAAACTGTGACCAAATGCAAAGAAAAATCAGCAGCTCCCCCTACTTCCTTTTCCTTGTTTGTCTTTTTTTTTTTAATTGCATTTTTCCCCCACACATCCCTCTCCCCTTTGGCAACTGTCAGTTTATTGTCAGTATCTGTGGTTCTATTTCTATTTTGTTTTGTTTTGTTTATTCGTTTTTTTTTGATGCAATTGTAAATGCAATTGTTTTCTTAATTCTCTTTCTGATAGTTTGTTATTGGTGTATTAGAATATAAATGGCTTCTGAATATGAACTTTGTATCCTGTTACTTTACCGAATTCATGTATCAATTCTAATAGCTTTTTGGTGGTGTCTTTAGGGTTTTCCGTATATAGTATCACATCATCTGCAAATAATGAGAGTTTTTCTTTTTTATGATTTGGATGCCTTTTATTTCTTTTTCTTGTCTGATTGCTGTAGCAAGGACTTCTAATACTATGTTGAATAGAAATGGCAATAGTGGACATCCTTGTCTTTTTCCCGATCTTAGAGGAAACACTTTCAGTTTTTCACCAGTGAGTATGATATTAGCTGAATTTGTCGCATGTGGCCTTTATTATGTTGAGATATGTTCCTTCTATTCCATTTTGTTGAGAATTTTTATCATAAAAGAATGTTGAATTTTATCACTTGCTATTTCTGTATCTATTGAGATTATCATATGGTTTTTATATTTTATTTTGTTAATATGATGTATCACATTGATAGATTTATGGATGTTGAATTGTCCTTGCATCCCGGGGATGAATCGCACTGGGTCATGGCATCCTTTTAATATATTGCTGAATCCAGTTTGTTGAGAATTTTTGCATCTATGTTCATCAGGGATATTGGCCTGTAATTTTTCTATAATGTCTTTGCCTGGTTTTGGTATCAGAGTAATGCAGGCTTCATAGAATGAGTCTAGAAGTATTCTTTCCTCTTTCATTTTTTAAATTCCTCGTTCATCTCTAAGACATTATCAGATTGCAGTTGTCTTTCCGCAATAGAAGAGCAATATGGGACTGAAGAAATTATTCCTTTAGCCACAATAAAGAACCCAGGCTTAAATATTGGACCTTTGGGTAAACCTAGATGTAGGAAAGATGGGCAGGCATAAAAAGGAAGAGCTAACAGTGAAAGCAATTTATTTTGATGACCTTATTTGCCAACAACAAAAAAAAAACCCATGTATTTCCTCTTTGTGTGCTGGTCCAAAAGGTGGATTTTGAGCAAGGTTAGAAATAATAAAATAGCCTGAATGAGAGTTCCATGTCTGAACCAAAAGACCAGTGGTAGTTTTAAAATGCCTTATCAGCAGAATGTTTCATATTGTAACCGGATTAATCTCAATTTCAGATGTAGTAAAGGTGAGAATAATCCCTTTTGTGAAGGCTTTCCATTGCTTACTTAAGGACATGTGTATTTAAATTTATGCTTTTACTCCAGCTTTTAATGAACTCTTCTAATCTTATATATCAGCTCATTAAATAATTATTTATCTTAACAGTAGATTGTGGAAATTGTCTTGCTTAGGGAAAATTTTTGATTTGCCATTTTATGTCTTCTGTTTTAAAAATGGAGAAATGGAAAGGTTGTTGTGCATTTTTTTTTTTTTTTACTTCTAAAATAGGCCAGTGTTTCCCAGTCTTGGCACTATTGACATTTGAAGCCAGATAATTCTTTGTCGTGAGAACTGTCCAGTGTGTTATATGATGTTTAGCAGCATCCCTGGCCTCTACCTACTAAATGTCCATAGCACCATCTCTCCTCAAGTTGTGACAACTAAAAATGTCTCCATATATTCCCAAATGTCCCCTGGCAGGTCAAGGGTGGGGGCGGGGGCATAAAAGTGCCCAATAAAATAAATAATCTCTAGGAGACCTAAATACAGGGTGATTTTTTTTTTTAAGAAATCTAATTGAAAAGCTTACATTGTATATACTTACAATTTTATTAACACACTGGACACCTACTATGTGAAAGCATTTTGTAAAAGCTGGGCATACAGAGATGTTTAAAATATGTCCTCTGTTCTTAAGACCCTTAGAATAGAGTTGGAGACATATACATGTACCTATACATGTAATTATCAATGTAGAAATATTTTAAAGTCTGCATTTAGAATTGAATAAGGTTTGAGAGAGATAAATTATCTAGCAAATAAAACTGAAAAACATAGACTTCTTCAAAAAAGATCTGGGAGATTCTATATGTGAATTCTTTCCTGCCGCTTCCCTTAAAATTATTCCCTTGGCTCTTCTCTCTGTCCTAAACTTCATTCAGGAATGAAGTGGGTTCTAGAGATGAGGTAGGCATAGATCAAACTTTTCCCTCCTTATAAGGCATAGATAATTATTTGGAAGTTAATTTTATTTTAGTGTGTTTCACCGGCTTGGTTGGAAACAGAGTGGTAGAGTGCAAAGAGAACTGGACCAATCTGAATTGGATTTTAGGTCACTCTGTGCCACAAACTACTTTTTTTTTTTTTTTTCCTCGGGCAGGTCATTTGAACTCTCTGGGCTTCTTTTTCTTCATCTCTATTCAACTCTAAGTTTCCAGAATATTTTATCTGCTTTAGATGGGGATAAAAATTGTGTCTTCTCTAGGCTTTGAATCTTATTTCTTTAGTACTCAGCATGAGACTCTAAATCACTGTTAATTGAGTTGAATTCAATTGCATGGATAAATGTCAAACACCGTGCAAAGGTGAAGAGTATTTTTTTTCAGCTCTGAAAGTACACTGACTTCAGTTGCTTTTGATAGCTAGTAAATCACTCTCCTTCAATTCAAGGCTTAACTCTCTTATAGATTTCTGAAAACCTATGTAAACATATGAGTTAAACTATAAAATAAAGAGTAATATTTCTTTTGAGTAGGTGTTGAGAGGCAGCGTGCATGGCATACTGCTAAAAAGCAAAGAAATCTGGAGCCTAGGTTCAAATCCCAGCTCTGCAACTTACAGCTGTGTGGCCTTAAGCATATTACTTTGCCTTTCTGTGCCTCAGTTTTCTCATCTGGGAATAGGATAATAGTAGTTCCTATCTCATAGGGTTGCTTTGAAAATTAACTAACATATTCATATAATATACCTAGAACAGTTCCTGACCCAACCCAAGTACTCAATAAATGTTAACTTTTTTTTAAAATAAACATGACTGACAGTACCAAATTTTTTATGTAAGGGAGGATGATAATTTTTGACTCCACCCTTGTTAGTGATTATTTTGCTTCCTAACTTAATATGTTAGTTATACTGATATAACTCTAGGGCCAGCTGCTATGGTATCCTTAAATATCCTTTCTCTTTACTGTTTAAGTCACCATCCCCAGTATGATGAAAATCTAGTGACTCTTTCACTTATTTCCATTTTCAGGAGTCTAAATTTCACCTGATCACTTCCTACTTCCACTTCCTGCTTAGGTTCAATGCCTAGTATCCACTGAGCATCCATTGAGTCTTACTCTTTAATTTTTAAAATTAAAATTAGATTGTAGGTTTCTATTTGTAGATTGTCTATGTGTTTTAATATGAAGAACTGGGTCCAACATGTGATATATAAGTTCTAGATGACAATTACTGATATACTTACATAAGAAATAGGACTAGACTAGAGGCCAAGAAATGGGTTCATAATTATGTTACTTAATTACATTGATCCCAAACTGTTTAATTGGTGAAATACAAAAGCTCTGTGGCAACCTCTTTTTCCAAGAAAATGAGTTTTCTTTTGGCTGCTATTCTTTGGATTTCATGTCATGCAGCCCACATGTCACAGTCCCTCAGTGGGCCTTGTTAATTTGAAGTGTTGATCCAGTGGGGCTTTCTGATATTTAGGAATATTGTTCTAATATTCATTCTTCTTATCTCTTCTCTTTTGTTCTCTTTTTTTACTACTCTTATAGATTCATTCTTTTGCCCAAGCCATCGGCTAAAACTTTATTCAATTAACCTAACAGAAGAGATATTTGTGCTTTCAAATATAATTAGTCATTCCTGAGTAACTGTCAACAGAAGGTTATTTGCTGTAAAATGCTATTGAATACTTTTGTGTGTTTGTAGTTTACTAGACTTGAAGCTGTTTTATTTGAAATGTCACTTCCTGGAATGTTCTGGTGTCAGTGGACAAAGCCTATGGCCAAAGATATTATGCTTCAAAATGTTCATTTGGCATTAAAAAATAAACCACTATCCATCCTAAAATTCTTCCAACTTTCTGTGAGGTTAGAATTTGAGTTTTCAGGCCTTAAAAAAGGAGAAAAAAAAATAGAATTAACAGTACTACCTGGCAGTTGAAATGTGGGATTATATGAAACATCTTTCTTGAGAAACTTAAACGCGAGCATCCTAATTGTTATATTATAGATTATAGATTATTATAGAGCTTGAAAGTCTATTGTTAGAAAAATATTTTATTTCTATATTCCTTCACTCTTTCACTCAACAAATACTTGTGCACTGACTGTATGTCAGAAAGCCAGATGCCTTGTACCAAAGAGGAATGAGACATAATCCTCAAAGTCCTTAAAGTGGGAGACACTTTTAATTAAAAATTACAATGGAATTGTTATGCATTCTTTAATTGAAATATGTACAAATTACTTTGGGCACCTAGTAAAGGAAGGGACCAGCATGGCTTGACGGGGTCAGGGCACCTTCACAAAGGTGATATGTGAGTTTTCTTTTATGAAGATAAATAGAAGCGGCAGGAGAACAATAAAGAATTTCCAGCA